AAAAAAAAAAAAGAAATAAAAGGCTGAAAGAAGGAGAGGATGGGGGAAGAAAATGAGGGTATATTGGTAATTAAAAATAAAAAATTTGGCCATGTCATCAAGTTTTGTCAAATGGATTTCACACGTAATCTAATTAAAGAAAAAAAAAATTTTTTCCGTTACTTAACATGCCATGTAAGCCAAAATTTAACGGAGGGACCAAAAAGGGGCCGGATTTGTGAACAGTAAGGATCAAAAAGGGGATTTTTTCGGTATAGGGACTAAAAAGGGGCTTTTTCCTATAGTAGAGGGACCAAAAAGGGTATTTAACCATAAATAAATTCTACATAGGAAAAGTGGTTAAGAAAGTAATTTATGGGATAAGTGAATCCTACGTAGAGAAGATTAGGAAAAAACTTTTTTTTTAAAAAATGTAAAAAAAAATTTACAAATTAAGAATTATATTAAAAAAATAAAATTTAAAAATTTTACTTTTACTCATACTTTTTATATTATTAATGTATAAAAATATATAAATAATAAAAAAATTTAAAAAACTTTACAGTGAAAAGGTTTCAAACCAAACAGCCTTTAATTGCTTGTTTGGAGTGCCAGATTAGTGATGGGGTTGGATAAAATTTAATCTAATCAATCAATAACCCACGTTTGGTGTTGTCCATGGAAAGGATAAAATGTATTCGGTGTTTTGTTTTATCCAAACCTGAAGACGTAAAAATTATCTCGTGTCCCCCATGGGTTATAGTGGGATTGGATTAAAGTTTCTCTAAACGATAAACAAAATCTCTCTTATGCCCTTTCTCCTTCCCTCATCGCAATTGACAATCGCCCTTCCATCTCTCCTCACCTCACCGAACACCATAGTCGGTGCCACTCCATCGATCTTTTGGTAAGTCTCAGATCTACTTTTTTATTTGTATTTTCTTCATTACCTATGAAACTCATATCTATCCCCCTTTTTCTCACCTGCAATAATCCTGTAATTCCTCTATATTTCTTCTTCTCCGATCTTGAGCTGCTTATTCTGGTAAGCTTATAACCTTTATCTTTGTTCTTGGGTATTTCGTTTTTGTTAATTCTGTCGAAAAAATAGACGAGTAGCACTCAGTTTCTTCTTAGCTATCCATCTCTGGAATTATTTGATATGCTATTCAAATTTGGGAACAAAATTTCTATATTCTTTGTAAATTCTTTTTTGTTTTTCTAATGTTTTATACTTTGATAGCTTCTTGTCGGCTGGAAAATGATGGGTTATTATTGGATTTGAATTTTAGCATTTTTGGTCTTTTTTTTTTTGGTAAATTTGATGTAAAACTACAAATTTGGGTTACCTATGTGCTGTTGTATTGTTATAAAAGTTTATACAAGAACTATGATTTCAAGATAACATAGGTTTGTGCATAGAGCAAAATGAGAAATACAAGGGAAGTGATTTCGTGTTTTACTTTATGATATTGTTAATTGAATTTAGTTGCTTTGATTGTTGGGCTGTCAGTGCTGCTTTTATGCGCTCACTATTATTAAAGATGACGCTGTAATCTTAGTTTTCAACCTTTAAGGTCAATTAGTTTGTTGGGTTGCAGTATAATGTGTAGTTCATTTCATAATAAATTGTGACAAATAATGATGCTTTTTTAAATTTGCATTCCACTACCTATTCTCATTTTCTTTTATGTTAGTATCTCATTGACTACTTTTTTACCAACAAAGATCTTTGCGAGTAAACCTAGTCTCATGTGTTGGATTTTCAGAAGATAGAAGTAGGAGTCATTTTGTCAAAACCTGTGCCTACAACATTTTCATCTATTGCTTCTTGTTCTAAAATGACATGGGCGAGTGAACCTACAAATTAAAGATAAGAATAAAGGTCCCTTTTTGTCATGATAACGGTTTAGTGTTTCTTGATTCATAATTCAACTCATATGATTGTTATTTGTAAAATTTTTTTCTTGTTTTTGCTTTGCCTTATGTCCTGAAGTTCTTTGTTTTATTATTGTTTGGTAGCACATAGTTCCTTGTTCCATGCCTTAGACATTAATTGTAGTATTGTTGCAATTCTGTTAAGCAGTTTTATTTTCTTGTTTAATTTTAAGTTGTCTTATCATTGATTCCTAGTCTATTTTAAGAATTGGATTTATTAATATCTGTTTTAGAGCCAACAACCAGTCCTTGACCATTTCATTATCTATATGACATTTATTTCTAACATTTGTTTATGTTATATATGTTATTTTCTTAACCTAAGATTTAGGTCATACTGTGTGTAAGTTCTATATAAATACCATATAGCTTTGCATTTTAGTTTCTACATTTGTACAGTGTCTACCAATTTCGCATTGCATGTCTTGTTATAAATTCTAATAGGATGCTATATTGTGGTAGTTCATGGCATCTTTAATTGTTCCTTATACGGAAGTTAAGGTTATATGACTAGGAAGGTGGTTCCCCAAAAGCCTCTGTTTTTAATATGAACTTAGAATTTTTTTAATATGAACTTAGAATTTTTTTAACGTTCTTTGCTTTGAGTTGCTCATCAAGGTTTTCACTAATTTGTTTTTGTTCTTAATATTTTACTAGGTCTTTGCCTAAAATTTTGTCACCATAGTTGAGTTAAGCAAGATGGATTCCATGGAGCAACAAATATTTTGAGAGTTTGACCGAGAGGAAGCATATACCCTTATAAAGAACTTATTAGAAAAAAATCATATGGAATATAAATAATGGTCACTATTTTAAAGGATTGGTACTATATATGAATGACTATTAATGGTGGATTTGGTAATTAGCTTGCACTATTTTTATGAAATTTTTATGTTTATTGTTTTGAAGGCCTTAGAATGTGAATTTCATTATTCTAATTTTACATTGTATTTTTTTCATTTTGTTCTTCTTTTTGTTTTTTTTTTTTTTGGTAGAATCTATTTTGTTCAAGCTACAAGATTGTAATTTTTTATTTAAAATTTTTTTATGAATTATTTTGATAAATTTGACTTATTTATATATTTTTCTTTGTAATTTATGATTTTTATTGTACAATTTATTTGACATTTTTTATGAATTTATATATTATATAAATATAATACCTTTGGTAGTTAAAAAGTTAATTATTTTTATAAATTAATATATTTTTATTTTTTAAAAATATTTTACTTAATAAATTTGGGTAAGTGAACGAAAGTTATCAAATATTTTAAACTTAAAAGTATTTTTGTATATATAAAAAATTTATAGAAGTTATCTTATGTAATTCTATAAAATTTTAATAGGATAAATTTTTTATACAATTTAAAATAATACCGAGCATAAAATATGACTCATTATTTTTTTCAATTCAGTTCTCTCTTATCTCATTATTTTTGTTTTATGCAGTCTTATGCTAACCTGCATTCCAAACGTGCTGTAAGGGTACGGGAGCAAAATGGGGTTTGAGTTGACAATGCATATCAGACTCTACTAACGAGGGGTTGGATGAAGTGGTAAACGACTTACTTTAGTTTAAGTAAAGTCTCAAGTTTGAAAACTTATGTACGCAACAGCTCTGTTGGGGGATTTATCCACCATTTTCAGGTGCGTGACATGGGTCGGGTCCAAATTAGTCGGGACGAAGTCTCGAATACCGGACGGAAAACAAAAAAAAATATATATATATATCAGATCCTACGGAAATCGGTAGCAGACCAAACACGGTATTAAATGTCTTTCCAAACTATTTATAAACGCAGAAAAACCACACGCCGCTGCTTATGCTCAGGAGTTACTGACTACGAAGACAGAAATTTTCGTTTCCAAAAAATTTGCAGTTGCATTAACTCATATGGCGTCGGAGAAGCGATGCCTCTACGAGGTGCTGGGCCTTCACCGCGACTGCACGCCGGACGAGATCCGCTCCGCGTACAAGAAGCTTGCCCTCCAGCGGCACCCTGACAAGCTCGTCCAATCGGGTCTCTCCCAAGCCAACGCCACCGCGCAGTTCCAGGAGCTCGTCCACGCCTACGAGGTCCTCTCCGACCCCAAGGAACGCTCCTGGTACGATTCTCACCGCTCTCAAATCCTCTTTTCCGACCCCAATTCTGTCTCCAACTCTCCCATCCCCAACCTATTCTCTTACTTCTCCAACACTGTCTATTCGGGTTACTCCGATTCGGGTCGAGGGTTCTTCAATGTGTATTCCGATCTTTTTACCAAAATTTATTCCAATGAGATGAATTTCGCTAAGGAGATGGGATTGAGGTTGGATACCGTGAAGGATGCTCCATTGATGGGAAATTTGGAGAGCTCGTATAGCCAGGTGACTTCTTTTTATAATTATTGGCTGGGGTTCTGTACGGTTATGGATTTCTGTTGGGCAGATGAGTATGATGTGATGGCAGGGCCGAACAGGAAATCTAGGAGAGTGATGGAGGAGGAGAACAAGAAGCTGAGGAGGAAAGCGAAGAGGGAGTATAATGAGACAGTGAGGGGGTTGGCGGAATTTGTAAGGAAAAGGGATAAGAGGGTCATTGATATGAGTCTAAGGAGGAAGCAGAAGATTGAGGAGAAGAGAGAGGAGGAGAAGGAGAGGAAGAAGCAGCTAGAACGGGAGAAGATGGAGCGAGCCAGGGCATATGAAGAGCCCGAGTGGGCAAAAGTTGCAGATGTGGATGTTGATGAGGGAAATTGGGAGGAGATGGAGCAGAGAGGGAGGAAGGAGGGAAATGAAGAGAAAGAGAAGAAGGAGCTTTACTGCGTGGCATGCGGAAAGAAATTCAAGAGTGAGAAGCAGTGGAAGAATCATGAGCAGTCAAAGAAGCATAAGGAGAAAGTGGCAGAGCTTAGGGAGTCATTTTTTGAAGAAGAGGAGCAGGATGATTTGAAGGAGTTGGGGGAGACTGTGGTTGTGGACGAGGTGTTTGAGAGATTTAGGGATGAATTAGAGATTGGAAAGGATGAGGGGGAGAGGGAGGATGAGAGTGTGGTTGTTGACTTGAGTGAGGAGGATGGATTTTTTAATGTTGAGGGGGGAGATGAAGAGAATGTTGGTATTGATGATGCTAGTGATGATGGTAAGGGGGATGAGGAAATGAGTATTCTTGATGTAATGGTCTTGGGGCATAGGAGTGGGAAACATGAAGCTTCAAGGAGTAAGGAGGAGGTTGTGCGTACAGAAGTTCATACCAAGGATGATAGTGATGAGGAGCAGTTTATGGACTATAATTATGGAAAGAGGAGAAACAGAAGGGGAAAGAAAGAAAGGAGTAAGAAGAATGCTGGTGAAGCTATGAATGAAACTAAAAGTAAAAAAGAGGAAGCTAATGTAAGTGAAAGTCAGCAAATGGAGGGGCAGGAGGCCTCTTCGCATGCCTTTTCACAAAATGAAAGCTTTAATGGTGAACGTTGTTCTGAGGCAGTGGAAAATCATAACAATTCAAAGGAATCTGATAATAAAGGACCTACCAAGAAAGACACAAACTACAAATCGAAGAATGTATCCAAAGGGAGGAAAGCAAAGGTAAGGGCACCTTTGCACTCTATATCTACTAATGTTCTTTTTGTCAATACCAAATGCTCGTTGATGTTATCTTTTGTGGGATTTGCATTTACAACTTTGGATTAGCTTACTGGAAGAAGAGTTTTTGTAATTTCTTGGTAATTAAGTAGTTATTTGACCATAATTACAAATAGGTAAATTACAATTTACCTACTTGTGGTTTAGGGTTGGTGAATTGGAAGACCCAAGATTTTAAAATGTTCATAAAATATACTTGTGATTTGAGGTGGGTGCACATAAAAACTTGAGATTTCAAGAAGTGTAAATAATGACTTGATAGGTTTGTATTAGGTGCATATAACCATTTGAAGTTACATGAAATTGTCATAAATACCCTTATTTTTCTTTTCTTTTCAGTCTTTTAAATTAGTGGCCTTTAAGAAATTTCATGTGGTTTATACGCACCAAGTGCAAATTTCAAGTGTTTATATGCATATTTTGGTATTTCGGGTCTTTAATTACAAATATTTAAAACCACATGTTATGCGCACATTTTAAAACTTCAAGTCTTTAGTGCATTTATCTCAAATCAAATGTAGCTAAATTGCAATTTCCCTTTACAAAAAAACTAGTTGGGTTCTTGGAGTGTGAGCCATTAATATTATAGTTTTCAGATGATTGCTTTCAGCTGCTTTTTGCTTTAAATATATGATTTCTTGATGATTATAAACTTTATCAAGAGGCTCCAATATGTGGGCATGATCCTAACATGGGATGAATAGTAGAGATTAGTTCTGGTGTTATGATGATTAGATGTTATTATGTACTTACCTTTGAATTTTTGCATCTTAATTTCTTAATTTTTAATTGAGTGATAAGTTTTATCAACAGGAAGTTAATTATTAGATATATTTGTTGGGTCAAATGTTAATCAACAATGAATTGAGATTTGTCATTGTGTCATGGAGTGTGACAGTGGGTACTCTCAGTTTCCGTATGGAGATGTTGAATAGTAGGCTTTTGGAATTGGAAGGGCATGCAAGTGTTGGTGAAATAATGTTGTTGGGGGAGAAGACTGGAATGCAAGTGGTGTGGTATAGGTGTAATGAAATTGGATGAAATTGGCTTGTGGTGGTATCTGGTATGGATGTAATGAAATTGGCTTGTGAGATTTATTTTTATCTCTACTTTCTAAAGAAGACTCTAAACATAACAGAGGAATGAAAATGAAAAATCTCAAACTAACAAAAGAGAATCACATCAGTTTTAATAGAAAACCCTGCACAGATGTTCATAGCATCTAATTGTGTTCTTGTGCAGGCAACTACAAAACATTCTTGGAATATGTGTGAGACATGCGGAGAGGCATTTCAGTCAAGGTCTGTAGATATTTTGATTCTCATTCTTCTCTACCGTTATATCTTTGTAATATATTATTCAGTAAACAACCAAACCTATTAATACCTATGTTGTGGCAGGAATAAATTACATCAGCATTTGGATGATACTGGTCATGCCACATTGAAATTCCGATAGAATCAACAGTGTACTACCTTCTACGTGCTGTGGCTAGTGGTTACACACCAGCTCATCGTTCCAAGCATTACAGAAGTTGGGTAGCTGGGAGCGTACATTTTCTTCCAATGTATTTATTAGAAAACGATTTTTAGGATGAAGTGACGTGGGCTGCCACGTTGTTGGCCCACATTTTATTTATAATTAATTAATTAAAATCAATTTTTGATTTGATTTCTCTAGGTGTGGTTATTGTCACATTTAAGAGGAAAATAATATACTTACAATATCATATTATAATTATATGATATGATGTATTATTGTTTACATAATAATCAGTAATTTTTTGAGATGATGTTGTGTTTTTATAGAGATTGAGCAGTTACTAATTTTTTATAATTTATTATTAATTATTTAGTTGTAATCTAGTACAATGGAGTTCATTTTATGTTGTCATGGGTTGGCATGAATTGTTCTTATTGGGCTAGAGCTTTTAGTATTTTTATTAATTAAGCTACGGAGTCTAATTTTGTTAATTTTGGGAGTGGATTTGACGGTGGAGAGTTTGTTGGTTTAGAAGGAATTATATGGTCCAAATGAGAGTATATTTTAAGTACTTGGACTCTATTTATTTAAATCTCATGAGGTGATATTCTATTAAAAGTCAATTTTTTATCCTTTGAGAGGGTTGGAGATTTAATCTTTAATTTAAGAAGAGATTGATCCAATCAGATGGAGAAGGACGAGGCTGATTTTTAGGAATTTCATTTAGAGGATTTTTGTTGAATTTTGGTTGCATTTTTTCTATTTCTAGCTAATTGACAAGGTGCATGAAAGAGAGACAGTCAGGGTTGTGGAGATCATATTTTACTATGGTTGGAGAGGTAGTTCAGATTTGATTTTTTTACTAAGAGTAGTTATAGAGGCCTATAAATCCTAGTTTTGAAGACATTATTGCGTTAGACATATAGGCTTGCCTTTCAACACAAATCATTTATCTCTTAAAGCTCTCTGTTCTTCGAGCATCTTTTAATTTAATCTAGCTCAGGATCTCTTAGGTTTAGACTATTTTTCAGCATCTTTTCTTCAAGTTTTTAGTCCAGTAAAAGTAGATCAATGTCCTCAATGGATTCTTGTTCTTAGTTGATTTAGTTTTTTTCTCTCTCTTTTTTTTTTTTTTTTTGCATAAGATTGGTTCTTGTGACTTTTTCTTATTATTGTAGTTTGCTTATACTAGATTTTTCAATTGTTAAACATTCAATTTAATTTTAATTCAAATATATCTACAAATTTAGTTAAATTTAGAGTATTTCACTTTTCTGTTGTGTTTTTCAGATTTCTTCCAGATTTAATTTTTTTTGCCTGCAATTTCAATTTTTGTTTAGTTTTATTTTCTTCACTTTATTTGGTTAATTTTCAACACTTGTCCTTAGCTTATTTCATTACTAGTACTTTAATTTAAAATTTTCTTGATACTTGTTTACCTTAACCCAAGTCTGTAATATCTCAAAATTTCTAAAACATTAAAATTTAAGTTAAGGATTTATGTGGGAGAAATTATCATTTGTTGGGCTTGATGACCAAATTTAAAAACCTAAGGGGGGCAAGCCGCATAAAAAAAAAAAAAAAAGGGAAAGGAGTATAAGCTCCTGATCCTTCTCCTTTTGCAAACCTTAGATTTAATAGCCAACATGACCATTCTCTGATTTCCATCACCAATTTCTACTCTTTTTCATCTTTCATCACTGATCTCACCCCTCTGAACCATTCTTTTTCACATTTCCCGACTCTCTAAGTCGCAGACCATTGTCTTCACCTCACAGCACCTGCGCACTATCTTCAACAACTCTTGGGTCTATCCTTTCTACTAGCAATCACTTGGCCCTTCAATTTCTTATTGTCTTTGTAACTCAAGTCTTCATTTCTAGACAGACTCGTAGCCCCTTGCCATTTTGGTAAGATTGAGTAGGAAATTATCTCATTCCTTTAATTCTAGTAGAAATAGTGTGAATATCGAATGTTAAGTTTGTAAATTTCTAGCCACCCTTGTTTCACTCGAAGTGCTTGGGGTCGACAGGCTAAAACTTACACTTGGAAAGCAGTTAGCACTTATCCCTTTTTACTGTTATGGTTAAGTAATTCTACGAAGAGGGAGGTTTTCGGGAGGACTATATGAAAGATTGAGATTGGAAATTCTGTAGGATCTTATGTGTGTTTGTTCATTATTTTCTTGTAAGATTATGACAATGTTATTCTAAGTGATTTTGGAATTTGTATGTGCCTTTTCTTGTTTCTAAGTTTGTTGCACTATTTGATGCTTGTTGTGACAGTTAGTATATATTAATTGTCCCACTTCGCTCTGGCTGTAGAATTTTCTTAGGAATGACTTGATTGTCATGAATGGCTTGATTACCTTGTGAATTCTTATTTGTCATGCTCGTTTTGCTGTAGTTTTTCACACTTAAATCATACTGTTTTATCCTAAAAATTCTCATTGTCATGGTTGCTTTTGCTATTGCATTTTTTGCTTGAATGTTGTTTTTGTCCATAAATTATTGTTGTTTTGCCCATAAAATTCTA